AGCTGTTAGCAGTTCTTAAGTATTTGTCTTTGAATATGACTTAAAACTGAGTCACATTGTGCAATTTTGTTTATGATTAAAAGAGGCAGACTTCTTATGCCTCTTAATCTTTTTTTGTCTTGGATTTTTTTCCCTCTTAACCCAATATTTTGTCATTTGAGACCAAATATATCTTTAAATCAGTGCTAAAAAGAGTTCCTGATTCTGTCTATATCTATATGCTTTTCAAATTAGCATCAAAAACTGAAATATAGCACTGCAACATGAACATTTTTTTATAAAGTAGCACATCATTTTTAAGCAAGTTACCTCTTAAATCCCTGTAAGTCCTTACAGGAACAGGGATTTAAAATTGATCAGTGGTTATATATACAAATCCATAGTAGATACAAACAAGATATCAAAGAGTTTGGAATCTATAGCAAATTACAACACTTAGATAAAATCTTATTAGGATCAAATAAAAAGAATATCTCTAAATTTTATAAATATTTATTGGAGGTAGAATTAGAGCAAGAGATAGTGAAAGGGAACATGATAATGTGGAGTAGGAATATTGGAAGAAGCATTACATTAACAGAATGGGAAAAGATCTGGAATAGAATCATTAAGATTACGAAATCTGCGGCGTACAAAGAAAATATGTATAAAATGTTATATAGATGGCACTTACCCCCTTCGAGGTTAGCAAAAATGAACCCAAACTCTAGTCCAAAATGTTGGAAATGTAAAAACATAGAGGGAACCTACTTTCATATGTGGTGGACCTGTAAAGAAGCCCAGAAATACTGGCAAAAAATTAGAAAATGGCTGGAGGAGATAACCAAAGAACAAATTGAATACAAACCAGAGTTCTTCCTACTAGGGATCTCTGATAAACATTTTCCTAAAAAGACGAAATATATAATAATTCATATTCTAACTGCGGCCAGATTAGCATTTGCCCAGTGCTGGAAATCATCCTGTTTACCTACAGATCAATTGGTCATTCAGAAAATATGTGACTGCGCAGAAATGGACAATTTAACCATAGCTCTTAAAAATAAAGAGTCTTCAGCATTTGATAATAATTGGAATGCGTGGTATAATTGGTTATATCAGAGATAAACTGTTCAATGAGCATAAATAAGCATAAATAACCATAAATAGTGATAAGATGTGTATATTTAAAGTAAGGTAGGAGAATTGGATCTTGTAGACTGTCAAAAAGAATATCTGTCTGGTTTTAACGTATTTTCTTTTTTCTTCCGTCTCTTTGTTTTTTTTCTCTCTTTTATACTTCTTTTTCTCCTTTTTCGGTCGCAAGACCGAGCGTTTTTTTTTTTTCCTCTCTCTTTCTCTTCTTTCTTTCTCCTTTTTCTCTCTCTGTTTCTTATGTAATGTTGTTATGTTATTTTTTTAATTGTAAATTCAATAAAATTTATATATAAAATTAAATCCCTGTAAGTCCTATCTTCCTTGAAATTTAGTATGTGGAGTATTGCCTGGCTGTACACACAAACCAATGATTATCAACCTTAAGTTCACATATGAGACTAATAAGAATGTTCAGAACTATTTATCAACGTATTTTTTCAGTCTTCATGGGACAGTGCAATTTTCACCAAGTCAAGCGGATTTGTACATATTGTTCCCTTCTTTGTGCCATCATCATAACATTTATTATTTTTGGAGCATCCTCTCGGTGGCCTTCTTAAATTTATACAACAATCCTCAACAATTGATCTTAATTAGTAATTGTGTTATCTCTGTATTCCAAGTACACTATTCAATCTCCAATCTTTGGTAGTCTATTATCTGGATGACACAGAATCATAATTCATTTTGCTATGCTGCATAGTAGGTTCAATTAAATAAATAAAACTGTAAATATTGGCAAACCATTAATGACATATCACATACATTAATTTATGATCAAACACAGTCATATAGTAACAGACATTATTTGTAATATTAAAAAGCATCTTTTTTAAAAAATCAATGATAATTGCACAGCAGGTTAAATAAAAGCCTCCAAGTTAAATAACCTATATATAATCCCTGATAAAAAGTTCAAACTTCTAAACTATTATAGCAATATCTCTTACCAAGACATTTAGTGATAAAATCCCTCTACTACCTTTATTCCTGGAACTATATGGTAACTGAATCATATTTTCCCGACTGGAAGGGAAGGAATTCCCCATATTGTAATAAAGGGTTGAAGAATGTGTCTGCTGATTGAAAAGTCCTGTTCAACCTCAATATTGTCAGGAATAATTTATTTATCAATACATACACATTTTACATTGTTATGATTCATTGTGTGCCGTCAAGTCAGTAGTGAGTCTTAGCAATTGCATAGATAGATACATTTATTTAGGTTAGTATATTACTTAGACACAAGCTCTTACAATAATGGCCCAAACCATCAAATGCTTTTGCTGAAAAATACAAGGAAAGTTAATTTTGCTTATGTGGATAAATCTCTTGGAATGTCCAAGTCAGACAAACAGCTTACTTAGAATCTTTATTCCAGATCAGCTAAGTTATGCATAGAGCTTAAGCCCAGGGAGTTTATAAGAGAAGATTTAGCAAAGGCACCACATTCAATTTTAAATAGAACAGATTTACAATTTTCTGTTATTTGTCACTGTAGGTAGATAAATAATATAAATTCAAGAGTATAATCTATGACTGCTTGGTTTTTAGAATCAGCACCTAGAGATAGTCCTTGACTTATGACCATAATTGAACCCAACCTTTCTGTTACTGACATATTTTAAGTGAGTTTTACCCCATTTTATGATCCTTCTTGCCACAGTTGTTAAGTGAATCACTGTAGTTGTTACTAACATAGTTGTTAAGTCAGTCTGGTTTCCCCATTGACTTAGATTCAGAAGGTTACAAAAAAGTTGATCACATGATCCAGGGGACCCTGCAACCATAATAAATATGAATCAGTTGCCAAGCATCTGAGTTTTGATTATGTGACCATGAGGATGCTGCAACAATCATAAATGTGAACAAAAGGTCATAAGTCACATTTTCCAGTGCAATTGTAACTTCAAAGAATAGACTAAAACAGAACAGAACAAAATAGAATAGAATTCCTTTATTGGTCAAGTGTGATTGGACACACAAGGAATTTGTCTTGGTGCAAATTCTCTCAATGTACATAAAAGAAAAGATACATTCATCAAGAGACAAGAATCATAAGATACGCTACTTAATAATAGTCATAGGGTACAATAAGCAATCAAATCATACTAGGAAACACTCAATATAAATTTTAAGGATACAGGCAACAAGGTTACAGTCATAGAGTCATAACTGGAAAGATGGGTAAAAGGAAGGATGGAAGGATTAATAGTAATAGTAAGGCAGACTTAGTAAATAGCTTGACTGTGTTGAGGGAATTATTTGTTTAGCAGAATGATGGAAAAAACTGTCCTTGTGTCTAGTTGTTCTGGGGTGCAGTGCTCTATAGCATCATTTTGAGGGAAGGAGTTGAAACAGAGTTTATGTCCGGGATGTGAGGGATCTGTAAATATTTTCACAGCCCTCTTTTTGACTCGTGCAGTATACAGGTTCTCGATTGAAGGCAGGTTGATAGTAATTGTTTTTTCTGCAGTCCTAATTATCCTCTGAAGTCTGTGTCTGTCCGGTTGGGTTGCAGAACCAAACCAGACCGTTATAGAGGTGCAGATGACAGACTCAATAATTCTCTGTAGAACTGTATCAGCAGCTCCTTGGGCAGTTTGAGCTTTCTGAGTTGGTGCAGAAAGAACATTCTTTGTTGTGCTTTTTTGATGACATTTTTGATGTTAGGTGTTCATTTTAGGTTTTGTCACTAAAAGAACTGTTGTAAGTCAAGGACTAACTATATTCAGTTTTCAATGCTGTATTGTTACATTTAAGGCCAAAATGGACAAGATCAGAGCCAAAAACAGTAGGGTGAAAGAGAAATACCCCTACTTGAACAGCCATTTCCTTTGGAAGGCTCATAAGCATGCTTTAAACCTTGTGATTTTTATGAATATATCCATGCGTAGATAATTGTTTTGTCTGATCCAATAGTGAAGAATAGCAGTTATGCATGAAGGAAAAAAAAAATCAAAGATAGCCTTTGAAGTAGCCATACAAGCCTTCCAAAGGAAGTTGCTTGGAGCAGGTGTACTTCCTAGCCCAATTTTCAAAACAAACCATTCAAGTATTTTTCATAGCTACAGAAAAATTAAAATATTTGTTAAAAAAAAAAAACTTTCTCACATGCATGCAAATCCTATTAGGTTAATTTCTTTTTAATGCTGCAATGAAAGCTCCCAATGAAGCCTTGATTTAGTTTCTGAAACAAAATGCAACTTATTAAACAGATGTATGCATCATGAATGTATTTTTATTCAAGCTATGTAGAGACCTATTCTGCTGTTCCACTGTTGCATTCAAATTGCCATTTTCTATAGACCCATTCACAATGTGACTTCTTTGATGTGTCATATGTAGAGTTCATTCCATATTTGTAAAGCAGATGTGAGGAACTTATTTCTATCCAAGTTTTGTGTTTTAATTGAAGCAGGATAAATCCAATCAAATATTCCCAGGACTGTAAGCCAACATAACCAAAAGTAAAGGATCATCAGAGTTACAGTTCAACAACCTAAGGGAGACCATATCGCTATCATCTTCAGGCTAAAGTGGACAATTTGTGAATTTTGGGCTCCCAAGGAAAGACCACCAACTTAGCTTTATTTGATGTTAAGAGATAGAAAATTTGGCTTATCAGTGTTGTTTTCACTCCCACTTTTTGAGAGGAAAGCAAAATAAATGAATAACATAAAGTAATAATATATAAAAATACAAAACACTTGACATTTAGAATTTTTGTTTGTTATTTGTTTATTCCCCAGTAATATGTAGATTGTGCTGTGATTACATACTGAAGGAAAAGAAGAATGTTGGATGTTGTTCCTTAAGATGAAGAAATAACTATGCTCTGAAATGTCCTATTTCTTTTTCAGCATCTGCAATCCCTGATAATGGAAGAAGAGCCTGTTTAAAGCTGAAAGTCTTTGTACGGCCTGCAAGTAAGTGCTTTATGCCTTGCTTTAGAGGGTGGCTTTACTTAGCGCATGCATTGGTTCAGTAAACATCAGTATAAACTTCTTTTAACTTTTAAAATCCTATGTGGTATCTCTTCTTTTCAGCATCACTTGTTTTTGTTTTTGCCATATCTTTTAATCATTTTTCACAAAGCAGTTTTCTTATTTGTTTTCCATATGCATAAGTTGCTAACTTGTTGTTTCTTAAATTGTGGTACCAAAAAGAAAACTACTGTGGTGTTTTGAAGCAGGCCACAGTTAAGTTATAAATATATGCCTATAATAGAAATAGAAATCAGACATGAAGACAGCAGCAAAAGAAAAAAAAAGGAAAATGGGGATTTTAAGGGTGTCTCACTAACCTATTTGGCTGTTATCTCTATTTTTGTTATAGACAACTGTATGAAAACTATAGGTGTTCATGATCGTGTTTTCGATGTTAACGACAAAGTAGAAAATTCATTAGAACCAGCAGGTTAGTATGCTTAGAGACTCTCTTTTAACAAATGCCTCTCTCTCTGTGGAGCTCTTGTGTCTTTTTCTTTTTCTTTGCATGGTTTGCACGGTAAAATTATTCTGCTTTTACTCATTTCTTGCAGCACTAATATTGCTTATAGTATATCTAATTTGCTAATGCTAGAATTCTCTTTTATGGTGTTGCAAAAAAGTATGCTTTTTTCATGACAATCTGCTTATTCAAACATGGCACCTCATTTGAAAACATAGTTATCCTAATCCCATTCCCACCCCATTTTTTGGTGTTTCTATTCAAGAATATGTAAGGGGGAAAAATGGGATGTATACCTAAAACACACACACGCATATATATGTTTTCCATGAGAATTTAAATGTAATTTATCTAGTTGCTACCCTGCCTCAATATATAGATGCATTTTTGACAGAATTTTACAATGTCCTAAAATATATGCACTGTATTTTACAGTAATATGTAATAAGTAATTATGAATAATATAAAATTGATTTCAGGTTAAAAGATGGACAATTGTATATGGTAATATTTTTGGCACATTTATGTTAATAGTGTATTATAGATACAATACGTATTATTAAATAAGAGCAAGTGAAGCTGATCTCAATGAAGATTTATTTGTGTGCCTTCTGGTTCTGTTTTAAAAATAAAAATATTGTAAAAATTTAGTTAAATACGAAATTGTCTGCATATTTCTCTGGACATTGTGCTGCTTTAAACATTCTCTTTACATCAAGGTCATGTTCTCCATTTCTCCCCAGTCTTCCTACTGGGGAGAAAATCAATTTCTTGATTTCTGAGTGTCCTGTTCTAGAGCTACTTGAGGCCTACAGAGGAAGTCAAACAAGGTTAAGGCAGAGGTTCTCAGATGAAGGAAGCTGAAGGGACAGCAGGCAAACAAAAGTCCCTCTGATGAAGAGAGAAGCTGACAAAGAGTGAATCCAAGGCAGAGACCCTCTGGCAAAGAGAAATGACAGAAATTCAGAACCTAAGATAACTCCCAAAAAAGAGTAGGAGGAAGTTTTCAAAGGAATACTCTAAAGCAGGGGTCTCAAACTCAATTTACCTGGGGGCCGCTGGAGGCAGAGTCTGGGTGAGGCTGGGCCGCATAAGGGATTCCACAAAAAAATGTTGTTAAAAAATATTCTCAAATGTCATCAACAGTTAATGATTTCTCCAATACATGAACTGTCCTGAACACATGAATGGAACATTGAATGAAGATCATGAACAATTCCTCAGAACATGGCTTCTCCAGCTTACTCCTTGCTGCCAGAGACTTGACAACGCTTCCTCTCACATATCTGAGCCACATTTGGCTTGAGAGAGGAGGCACTTGAGACCCTCAGTATGGCTTGAAGATGATCATCAGTAAGTCTGGACCTGTACTTGGACTTGTTAAAGTTCAGGGTGGAGAAGAAGCCATGACGAGGAACGGCGGGCGGGACTTCCTTCAGAGGTCCATTCCCCCTGCGGGCCGCACTAATATTATACTTTCATATCATGGTGGGGGCCACAGGATATCGTCCTGTGGGCCACAATTGGCCCGCAGGCCGCGAGTTTGAGACCCCTGCTCTAAAGTTTGTTATATGATCAAATAGCCGGAGCCTTCATTTTACATATTGAAAGATGTATGTTCAGGGAATTGTGATGCTCATATTCCTGAAAGAGACATTCCTGGTGTCTAAACTGAATGTTTCCAACATCAAGATATTTTTTCTTAATCATGTACTATAAGCTGTATATGTTTTTAAGGTTAGATATTGTTTTATGTTACAGTTTTGATATATAAACAACTGTGAAACTTTTAGAAATAATTATGACAATTTGGATGCATTTGCTCATAAATATAGAAATGAATTTGGTTTAGGAGAGGGAACACAGCGACTTTACAATTAAGTTCACTGTCTCTTGATAGTTATAAATCTTAATCAAAACCTCTCATAGATAACATTTTAATTTTTCTAGGTAAGCATTTTCCTACTTTACAAGTTAGGTGCTATGGAAAACTGATTTATACTGAAAAAGACCATCTGGATTTTTGTTCTTACTTCTAAGCATTCTTCTTAAGCATTCTCCAAGAGAGAAATGGAGATACTCTGTACCACTATTTGTCAAAAAACATAATAAGATATTCTGCATAATTCCTACTTGTGGCCATCTCGCCATCACTGAATATCTTTATTATGTGGTTTTTGCTGCTTTCTTAAATGATGTGTCATCTGTTTAAATATGGTATAATTTCAGAGTTTATGTTATTGTCTACTGATAGGCAGCTACAGCAGCTTTTCATCTCTCTGCTTAATTGCTTTCACTTTCCCATTTTTCTAACAAAAGCATAATATTCTATATTTTAAGAAAACAATATGCATTGATATAATTGTTCTCTTAAACAAGATCTCTGATCAAGTCAGTCTTCCTACAACCCTGTTCTCTTTCCTACAACTCTCTTCGTTTAAAATTGTATGTAGCCAGATTTTACTGGCAGAAATTTTGGAATTGTTTTGTAACTGGTAAATCATCATTTGGACATTTGTTGATTTTCTGTATACAAACTACACAAAACAAATAAAAATCTAAAACTAATTGAGAGAACGATGTCCAACATTTCAACCAGTGTTCCTTCTAGATTCATTAAGTTTTTTTAAAGTGCAACACATAGTATTTGACCAAGGAACTATTAAAAAGCTTTAAAATAATGTGTGTGTATGTGTGTGTTGTCTTTATCTTTGGAGGAAAAAAATACAAATTGTGCTTTCTGTTTGAACAGATGATACGGTACATGAATCAGCTGAGCCATCCCGTGGTGAGAATGCTGCTCAGACCTTAAGGATATCCAGTCAGCCTTTTACAACTCTACTGTTCCTTCTAGCAATGCTTTTGACGTTATAGCACATATTCCAGCAAGCTGCCACCGTCAACTTCAGGATCTCAGAACATCAAAGATCCACTTAACTGCTCATCCCAACAACGGGACTTTGTATTGGTTTGCAGATGTTGGTTTGTTCTCCTTTCCCCATCTTCTCCCTTTCTCTCCTCTGCAACCTGAACTTTGAGCAAAAATTGAAGAGGAATTAACTAGACCTCTTCCTACTCCCAAGCTTTTCCCTGGCTTTCCTTGATCCCTTCTAAAATGAATGGACTCCAAATGAAAATGCCAAATTTCAATATTGACACTAGTGATTCTTACTTTCCTCTGCAGCCTCTCTTTAAGATACTGCCTAGTTAATTCATTGGGCCATCTGTATATGGAGAAGGAAAAATAATAGGAGATGCAGTTAGTTGAAGAATAAGGAAGTTATTTGAGGAAAAAAACAAGAGAAATTTTTTACTCTTTTCAATAAAATATTTATTTCTCCTTGTTCAGCACTGTAAGACGATCATGCAATGTACTGTGTCACCATGTCAGAACTGGAGGGAAGTTATTAAGAATAAATATATCTCAGTGAACAGGCTCCTCAAAGTAAAGAGATATTATTTGTATGCAACTGCCTTGAAAGGTCCTTGACAGTGGAAGTTATGCTCCATAACAGAAGCTCTGTCATTAGGGGATAAAAACGTGACTACTGACATGCAAGGTCAGGTTTAGGAAACTATGTTGGAGTGATAGTGCCTCTGTTATCGCTCTAGGTGGACAGTGCACACCAGATTACTTTTCTTTTGACTCAGATACCATGGTGCTACAGTGATTTTTGTTCAAATGCAAAAAGGCATTTCTGTACTCTAAGATACCTTTTCTGTGTGAATAAAGTGACCTTTCCCAAGGCTGACTTAGTAGCCAGTAGCCTTGGATCCAGCTCTGGGTAATGATACATACTATGTTGATAACAGCTCAGGGTGGAGTAAACCTGGTGAGTAATACAGAATCCCCAGTGTCCTGGATTTTTCTGCCTCCTTGAAAGTTTGGCAACTCTTGGAGTAAAATGTTGCCAGAAAGGAACCAGGACATTTATCATAGAGGGTGGATGGGTGTTCTGCATGGGAAGAATAGAGTACAGGAAAATTGATTTGAACTGTAGAGTAAAAGTTGAGGCATTGATCTCATCTCTTCTTTTCCAACACAGTTGAAAATTAGTGTAAATGTCTTCATTGGCAGGAGATAATAGACAGACTCCCAAAGGCCTTTAACTATTTTGTTGCTTTTAAAAATCCACTAGAGTAGAAAATACATTATCTAGATATACCTTATGCTGAAAATAATTATATATGCTTGTCCTATTTAAAGATGATAAAATGTGGTAATTTGTGACAAGAATATGGGATGCTGATCGGTTGAAATCAGAAGTGAGTCCTTAGGCAGCTATGATATAGCCTCATAAAACATTTACCAGGAAATGCCTTCTTTATAGTATTCCATTAACTTAGGCAGACCAAATTTAGATTTACTAAATAAGAGAGATCATGAAAACTACTTAGCAAATTTAGTTGTCTCCCAAAATTAGTGAGAACAAAACTTTACAAAAATGAGGTTAGGCTTCACTGAATTTTCACAAGATAGGAAAAAAAGCAGTTTAATACTAAATCATAATGCAAATGGACAGAATTTTGAAATTTCCTCATTGTATTATGAAAAGAAAGCATTTTTTTTAAAAAAAAATTGCAGAATTTCAGAATTCAAAAATAGCATGAATAAAATGGTAAATATAAGGCGCTCTGGGCTTGCCTGATACCACAATGTCTAGGCTGTATTTGAAAGCACAGAGATGTCTGATATAGCACACAAATAAAAAAAAGTTTCATTTCCTCAGAGTACAATCAGTCCCCTCTCTTCAATATGTATTTTGGGTGCATATGTAGGAAGGGATGACCTTGAAAATAGTAATCAAGGCAAAGACAATGTTGCACACGAATTAAGATCCTACAAGTGTAGCCTACCAATTGCAAATATGAGTCACAGTGTTTGTTGTCCTAACAATGGCTATAGCTGTTTTTTCATCGTTCATCTACCAGTAATAAAAGGCTGGACTCACTTGCCTCAATAGCACGCTTTCTAAACCACAGATTGTCACCACAGTGAATTCAAACTTTTGCTTTGCCACGGCGTCACTGCTAATCTAATGAATAAAAGCAACACTGTAATTACAGTTCAGATGCTAATTGCTACACTGCCTCAAATGCAGATTTGTTGGCAGTAGGTTTACAGGACCTTCGGATATATTTGATGGCATCAGGCAATCTTATTAAGCAAGAAATGACCATGATCACAGGACATAGTGAGACATAAGACTTGATTAGTATAAATACTTCTGAACAATGCAGATACTAAACCATCCATTTGTATGTTCCATCTGAAAGCAAATCATAACTCCTTATCAAAGAAATTAGCCATAAGCAAGCCATAGTTTTATTCTATGGTATGTGCAGGCCATGAATTGTATCTACTTGGAACTGATATTTAACAAGGTTTACTGCTCATGCAGGAGCACTGATGCTAAACAAGCCTTATGGTGCATTCATGCAAATGTGGCCAGTGCCTGAAAATCTCTTTTAATCTCTCCACTTGGGTATGTGTGTGTGTGTGTGTGTTGTCCTGACATCTTCAAAAAGTTGTCAGTATGTATGTTTATAATAGCTCCTGTCCTCAAGCATGAAATATGAGATACAACATTTGGTCTCCCTCAATTCAGACAGTCTGCCCTGTACCATCCAGTCCGAGTTTTGCTAAGGGCTTTGCAAAGGGTAGCAGGGAAATAAGGATTGATCTGTGTGGTGGATACTGTGTATCCTTTAATAGACGACAAGGTAACATTTTGTGTTAGTTTAGAAATATTGTTTTGTACTGTACTTTCTCAGCTGGCGAAGGAAAGACAAGTTAAGACAAAAAAAAATGCTATGTTCTTTAAATTCTGTATTATTAGCAGCCTTTGTTGTACATAGTGTTTGATAATAAAGTATTAATTTGATTATTATGTCTTTTGTAAGTGAGAAGAAAATAGATTTTCGTGATATTAAAATTTAAATAAACAATTCACCTTCTGAATATATCTCCCCCAAAACTCATCATGGCTACTGAAGATGTAGCCACCACAGGTCACTCCCCATACAGGATTTACTCATGAAAGCCATTCAGCCACTCTCAAGATTTCACAATGGCAGGACTTGGAACATTGTAGCATCTGGTTATCGATGTTTTGTCTGTGGAGTTAATGGTCTATTGTTGGAAGCCCATGGTATTTTTCTTTGGGTGTTAGGTTTTCATTAGCATGTGGATTCACAACTTGGGATTTTATTCTTCCTTCTTGTGAGAACATTTCCCCCCTTCCAGTTGTTTAATCCTCTTTCTTTTCATGGGTGATTGTTTCAAAAAGGGACCTTCCCAGCAACATATGTGATAATGTACAGTGACTTGATTCCTCACTCCATTGAACACCAAATGGAGCAGGGGGTTATATGTAAATAATTTTCTTTCCTATATAACCAATGAAGGAAAGAAATAATAGCTACCAAGGGAATATGTGTGTTTGGAGTTTTTTCACATATTTTATGAAAGCAGTGGCTGAATCAATTTTTGCAAATTTTGAAAAATAATTTTTCATACTTTTTTCCATAAATCAAGTTATGTACATTTAATAAACTTGTTTCCATCTACTGTACATCAGATTCCTCTTTCTCTTCCCTGCTACCAAGTCCCCTTAAGTTCTCATTAAAAGTGGAACAGTGAATGGGCAAATCTGTTTCTGACTTGCAGTGCCCTACTTTTGCCATTCCTTCACCCATGTTTTTCAGATTTGAGACTAATCTCCCTGCCAAAATCTTAATGCCATTATCTGAACAGTTTAATAGATGCTGGCATAGTGGAGGTTGCCCATGAGCTTACAGAATCTGCTTTCCATGGTTACCCTTGATGACCTAAAGAAACCACTGATTGTGTCCTTCTGGGTATGAAAGTCCAACTCAGTGTGGTCCTGTCCTTGTACTGCCCTGCTTTGCAGTTTCTTTGCACTTATTTATTGAGTGCTGTTTTTAAAATGCTTACATTATATGAATTTTAAAAAAAGTGTTAAAAAAACAAACCCATAAAAGTCTGTATTTGTATATACACGTGTCCGTACAATTATATCTGAATAAAAAAATTAAAGATTTTCATCATTTTAATAAATTCTTTCAGGCTACATTTTTATTTGCTGAATGACGCCTTTGGTTCATTAGCTTTTTTTTTTTTCATCTTAAATATTTGTAGGGGAGTGGAAGCCTGCAAGGAATACAACACTGAGCAATTCTGTAATGCTTGGAATGCTGAGGAGTTTTCATTTATTTATTTATTTATTTTGATTTGTCAATCACTTACAAGATAATAGATATAAGTATATACATAGTTATGAATACATGAAATGGGTACATATAAGAAAAATAAAAATAAACTATAGGACAGGGGTGGTAGGCACATTGGTGCGCTTACGCACGCCCCCTACAGACCTCTTAGGAAAGGAATGAGGTCAATAGTAGAAAGTCTAAGGTTAAAATTTTTGGGGTTTGGGGAAGAAACCACAGAGTAAGGTAGAGTATTCCAGACTTTGACCACTCTGTTGCTGAAGTCGTATTTCCTGCAATCAAGTTTGGTGCAATTAACCTTGAGTTTGTATCTATTGTGTGCTCTTGTGTTGTTATGCTTGAAGCTGAAGTATTCATTGACAGGTAAGTCATTGCAATGTATGATTTATATACCATACTTAGATCATACCAAAGACGGAGTAATTCAAGGTTTTCTAGGTCTAGAATTTCAAGTCTGGTGGCATAATGTATTCTACAATGAGTAGAGGAGTGGAGAACTCTTTTTGTGAAATATTTCTGGACTTTCTCAACTGTGCTAATATCAGATACGTAACGTGGGTTCCAGACTGATGAGCTGTATTCCAGTATTGGTCTAGCAAATGTTTTGTATGCTCTAGTTAGTAGTAGTAGTAGTAGTAGTAATAGTAGTAGTAGTAGTGTGCAGTTAGTAGTGTGATATTACCAGAGAAAAAGCCACATAAGATTAGGTTAACAACTCTTAATGCCTTTTTGGCTATGTAGTTACAGTGGGCTCCAGCACTTAGATAATTAGAGTAGTACAAGGTCCTTTACAGAGCTTGGATCATCAACAAGGGTCTTGACTATTCAGCTTGTATTTTATTTTCTGATTTTTTTTCTGCCAATATGTAAGACAGAGCATTTATTTGTTGAGATTTGAAGTTGCCATTTGTTTGACCATTCTGATACATAGTCAAGATCTTTTTGAAGAGTAGCAGTATTGTCTGTGGTATTGAACAGTTTTATATCATCAGCAAAGAGAATGCAATTGCTCTTAATATGATCACAGAGGTCATTTATGTAGAGTATGAAGAGAGTTGGTCCTAGAACACTGCCTTGGGGGACACCACTATTGACAGGTACAGAATTTGATAGGACACTCCCGATTTTGACCATTTGTTGACTGTTTGACAGGAATGCTTCTATCTAGTTATGCAGTTGTCCAGATATACCATAAGATTTTAGTTTTAGTAGTAGTTTGTCGTGTACCACTGAATCAAAGACTTTACAGAAGTATATGTAGATTGCGTGTATTGTTTTGCCCTGATGAAATTGGAATTGAGGTCCACAAGTCTTAAAGTTGCCCCTTGTCTAGACTGTGACTATAGAAATAATCCAATGTTTTAAATTGTGCTGTCTTATTTTTCTGATGAATGGCAATTTCATGCAGAATAAAGTAGGATGTTCTGCTAAGCGAGGACTGGGGTGACGTAAAGGACTGCAAACAGGGCAGACAATGCATGGCACCCCTTTTTCAAGTTTCCTTCAGCTAAAAATTAATGGACTAAATGAGTTTTAAAATTGGAGAAAAGTCTGTAGCATAGCTACAGATCTCCCCATCTTTTTAAAATCGATTTGAAATATGGACACCCAATTCTTGAACACTGTATTAAAAAATGCTGCACAGCTCTACAACAGGTTATCAACTGGTGTTCAGTATGCTTCATTATCTATTAATGGTAGTTCTGTTTTGTCACTCTTGGACCATTGAAATGTCAACTGTTGTGTATGCATTAAAATTCCTAAAAGCCATAGGCCCCCTCCCTGAACCAAGGTATACTTAAGGAAATCTCTCCTCACATTTCATCTTTTCAAATCCAAACTTTAATTACATTCATGTTAGCATTAACCTCCTTGAAAGCTTTTTATTAAATTTAATTGGTTAACAGGATAGCAAGTACTAATTATAACTTGCTTTGACTTCCCTTTACAAATTAGGAATGACAGCCTACTGTGGAGAGAAAGAGAGAGAGAGAGATACATGTTTAGTACAAAGAGCTGATGTGCTGAACTCTTGTTTCTGGTAGTATAAATCTAAGATCATACATAATATATTCTTGGTTTAGCTTAGCATAATAACCTCAATTTTTTTCAGCTTTAATAGGATCGGTTATAGTTCCAATGGGTCATTTTTAATGTTTAAGTTGTTTCTCTCTTTTCTCTAGTTAAGATCCTTGGTATTTCTGTTCCCATAGACTGCACCAAATAATGTAATAGTTTTAGCCTAATTTCAGAATGTCTTACAAATTACTCAGGCTCTAACAACATTACCTTGTCTTAGGCCATTGGAGGAAAAATAAAAAGGAGGCCTTAGCAGCATAACAAGGAAATTACTGTTCAGAAAGGGCATAAGAGAGTCCATTCACAGCTAGATAAGAATCATGTACACACACACACACACACACACACACACACACACAATCATTATTAGGAGTCTGACTAAA